TAAATTCTGGAAAATCAGGCAAAATTTACCGACCAAATATTTGCCGATTCGATAAGTTTTTGTTTCGCAGTGATAAATTTCTGATTCGGGTGTGATTACAGTACAGAATTAAGGAGCAGGTTTCTGATTTCAAATTATGATAAATTAACAATGTATTTATTTCGAAATCAGCAGTTCATAAATCTCATTTATTTTGATTTGTAAGCATAATTTTATGACTTGATATCTTTTCATATATATTTTAAAATGTCCTATGTTTTTGATTGACAATTAAATAGTATTTTAGAAGTATTATGGAAGATTCCAATGGTACTCATAAAAATATAGCTAATATTAAAGAAAAAGAAATCTAGAAACAATTGAATTAGATCGATATCCTACTATTCCCTACTATTCGTTAAAAAACTATCAAGTTCTCTTCTTAGTGGTTTGTTTATATTAATTGTTAATAATTAGCAAATAAATATGTAATATTACTTAAGAATTTTAAAAAATAAACCTTAACAAGAAGGAATCGAATATAAATTAGACTTTTATAACAAATATATTGTGCCGTTATAAATTAAAAATGAATCTTGGGTTAGGATTCCAAGCGACCAAGATATTATTAACATTTGTCGAGAATGCATGAATAATTATGATAAAAGAAATCAAAGTAAAAAATTTTATATGTAAATATTTGTTTATATATTTTTCGTCTTTGATGAGAAACAAAAAATAATAAATGCTTTCGTTTGAACGAAAATGTATCTTGCCAAAGAATAGGGATCGAAATTTAGTTTAATTTTATAAACCCAAATTTTCGTCTTCGGCAAAAAACGAAGAATAATTAGAAATGAATAAAGGCTTCGTTTGAACGAAAAATGGATCTTGCCAAAGAATAGGAATCGAAATTTAATTCAATTTTTTAAACTCGAATTTTTTGTCTTCGACAAGAAACAAAAAATAATTAGAAATGAATAAATGCCTTTATTTGAACGAAAATGGATCTTACCAAAGAATAGAATTGGAAATTTATACAATTTTTTAAACCCGAATTTTCGTCGAAAAAGAATAAAGGCTTCGTTTGAGCGAAATGGATCTTGCCAAATAATGGGAATTGAAATTTAAGTGCGACAAGTTTGCATGTCGATATTTAGTCTTATTGAAATATAAGTTTTATATTAGTCATCTGATCATGTATTATTCCCGAAATCTATAGCTTAACTGGATCGGCGGAAAACTTATTCGGACAAATTTTCAGAGGTGTCCCAGGAATTATGATAATAGCTGTAAAACAAATTGCGGCAATTAATTTAGATTATCACATATGTTTTGGATTTCGGCATTTGTTTCGGATTGCAGCATAAATTATGACTTGTGGCTTTATTTTTGCCGAAAAATTGGGGCCTAAATACTTTCGGCGCAGCCGAAACTAATTTCTACGGCATGTATAGTTGTGCCCCAGATGTCGATTTGTCCCAAATGTCAATTTACCAACATTATCAGCCTAAACAAATTAATTTAGGCAAGGCGTCTAGCTAAATTTTAGTAAATTGACATCTGAGCTGTCCCAATTGACAATTGGGGCAAATTTAGATTTGGGGCATAACATATACATGGGTGGCGTATTATGGATTATTTACAGCAGACGATCTGCCGAAATCTTTTTTAGTATTTTGCCTTTGCACTTCAAAATGGCGAAAGACAAAATTATTTTCACTTGCTGAAATTATTATTGAATGTCAAAATTATTATGGATGTCATTATTATTATAGGCTGCTGACATTAATAATAGACGGTTGAAATTATTATGGCTGTCATCATTATTGTAGGCTGTTGATTAATATGGGCTGTGGGTATTATTTAGACTATTCAAAATTCTGGCCAAATATGTATACTTGACCTCCATAAATGCACTTTTCATATTGTTCTCTAAATCACGTTGTAAAAGTTTGGTACTTATAGATGCATTTGAGAAGTCTGACTATATTTAAATAAGCTATTCAAATTCTTGAATGTTTATTATTTAATTTTATTTATTCGCGTTAACATAGAAAGTGAATATGAAGAAAATTTATTATTCAACTATTTAGAATAAGTTATTCAAGTTCCTAAATATTTAATCTTTTTTTTTTTATATTCTCATAATCTTAAAAGTGAGTATGAAGAGCATTTATTCTAAGTATTAAAATTATGCTTTATGTTGCATCTGAGATTTTATTTAGCTGGAAGTTTATGTAATGGCAGGCTTTTGATAAAGGTTTTCTCATATAAAAAATTAATTTAGTGTTTTCTTTCTTTTAAAATCGCCCAAGTCAATATTAATGTTTTTTTTTTATTTTAATTAATGTGCCTATTTATTACTTATTGATTATTAACCAATAGAAAATTTTACTATACGAAAAGTATATAAGAATAGAGTTCTCTATTTTTAATATTCCTATAAATACTTTAAATATTTTTTGACATAATAAAAACTAAAATATTTATGTCATACTGAAATATTTCGACATACTGAAATATTTCGACATACTAAAAAATTTCGACATACTAAATATTTCTCATACTAAAATATTACACCATGCTGAAATATTTTAACCATACTTATATTTTCGTCATAATAAAATATTTCCGTCATAGTAAAATATTTCCAACGTTTTGACAGTCAAAAATCTTTTTCAACATACTAATTTATTTATAATTTTGACTGCAAAAAATAAATTTTGCCATTTAGACTTTCGACAAGAGCAAAACATTTTCGCCACCCATGTATATAGTCGACTTTATTAAAACATCAATTTAGAAGGCAATAAATAAACAGTATAACGAAAATATTTTAATTAATCAAAGTTTTACTTTTTTAAAAAGACTTTCTTTATTGCAATTTATATTCTTAAGCCGGATTACTTTCGTGTCACTATTTACAACATAGTTACGAAATAAAAAAAAATAAAAAACATGTGCATAAAAATAAAATAAAAAAAAAATAAGAAAATAATAACATAAGAATAAGAAATAAGAAAATAAAAACAGAATAAAAAATAAAAGTAAAAAAAGTAAAAAAATAAAAAAAAAACGTAAGAATAAAAACAGAATAAAAAATAAAGTAAAAAAGTAAAAAAATAAAAAAAAAACGTAAGAATAAAAAATAAAAGTAAAAAAATAATAAAAAAAAACATAAGAGTAAAAAATAAAAGTAAAAAAAAAACATAAGAGTAAAAAATAAAAGTAAAAAAAAAAAATAAGAATAAAAAAATAAAAGTAAAAAAATAATAAAAAATAAAAGCAAAAAGAAAAAAAAAGTTCTTTACCAGTAGAAAGATTAAAGTCGATAATTTAAATTTAAACTCTTTCTACTGGTGAGTCTCGATGCTATTAAACTCTTTCTACTGGTGAGTCTCGATGCTAATTGCCTTCGTTCTAAAATATCTAGTTTATTTTTTCGGAAATCTAAGAATCTTAGAGTATCATTATTTTTACAAAGAACTTCTACTAACAACGATCCTCCGATAGAATCAAGGTGATTATCAGAAAGAATTAAAGTGATCAATGTTTTATTTTCACAAAGAGCATTTGCTAAAAGTTCTCCGGCTTCAAGATGATTTGAACCAAGGTTCAAATATTTCAATATTATATTCACTCCAAGTACGTTCATCAAAGGCTTAATGTCATTATCATTAAGCTCATTACTCGAAAGGTTCAGGTCGGTAAGGGATGTGTTCGCTTCAAAAGCTCGCACCAATGCTTCTATACCATTCTTACCAATTTTATTATGCTGAAGATCTAAGGAGGTTATCGTGTTATTGGTAGAGAAAGCGTGTGCAATTATACTTCCTCTTTCAGGTTCTGTCTGGTTAAACCCTAAGTTTAAAGAGGTTAAAGTAGTGTTATCACTGAGAGCATTTATAACCGCAATTTCACCCACAGAACCAATGTCCGCATCGATAATACCAAAATTTTTTAAATTGATATTTTCTCTGAGGACACGGGCCAACGCTGCGCCTCCTTCTTGGCCAATCTCGCAATTCAAGAATTCTAATGATGTTAAGGATGTGTTTCTAGAAAGAGCATTCGCTAAACTAATCACTGCTTGACCGTTGATTTGACCACCTCCAAGTCTCAAAGACTCTAAATTATTGTTCATCCGTAGAGTCTCGGCAAAGACTTCTCCACCTTCTAAATCCCGTACATTGTCATGAATACTTAAAGATAGTAGAGATGTGTTATCGCAAAGCGCGTTCGCCAGAGCTTTTTTTCCGGTGTAATCAAATCGGGTATGTATTAATTTTAAAGATGTTAGAGACACATGATTACGAAGAACCTCTGCAAGCTCACTTCCACCTTCTGGTCTAAGGACGTTATGTGCAAGGCGTAAAGAAGTTAAAGTAGTATTTATTAAAAGGCATGTTGCTAATCCATCCGAACTAAGGGTGTTCCATGCAAGGGACAGGTGAGATAAGGCGAGATTATTGAAAATGGGAGTAAATTCGGCTGTCCCGAGAGTGTTGTAATCTATGTGTAATTTAGAAATCGAGGAATTTACATGAATATCACTTAAAATTTGGGGACTAATTATTTCATTGATTTCTAAATGGTTTAATTTAGTGTCACATCTTAGAAACGATTCAATCAGCGCGCATTTCACTGATTGAACGTCGTTCATATTGGTTAGGAACGCTGCTTCTCGGATGTCTTGTGGGTAGTCTAGATCAGGTCTTTCATTTGTTATCCAGTCTACGATGCCAGAGATCAGCCAAGATGTATTGACCGAATTGATGTAATTCGAATAGTTAAACAAAGGGTTACAATCCGGTAAGACTATGCCTGGCGGTAACTGTTTTCGTTCTTCAGCATTTAATAACGAAAGTAATACTCTTATTATTCTCCTGTCTTTAAGATGTTCGTCAAGGTCGCCCCATAGAACATATACTGCATTCCTACACCATTGATGATTCATGAAGAGACAAGAAAATAAATCCTCAGGGTAGGTGCTAAGGCTTTTAAATATTTCAACAAGAATTTCGTTTGGTAAAGCTGTCATTTTCGATTAAATTTGCGGGAATTCGAGAATTCGTATGAAAGTTAAGATTTACGAAAATTTGTATGAAGCTTGGGGGTTTTTTTTTTTTAGAGGCTCTTTATATCTTAATTCCGGAGGAATTCACATTACGTAAATCAAAGCATTTACATCAGGAAATTTTGATACCTGATTATTACAGTCAATTGTTAATGGTGTTACGATCAAGTGGGAGAGCTGTTTGGCCATAAGGCCTGATTAGCGTTGATAGTAACGGGTAGAAAGATTAGTGGATCTAATAATACGCGTGACGTAACGTATCTGATTATGCAATGTACAGTTTAAGGGTGGACAATAAGAGGACATCCATAATTTACGTTAAACCAGTACAGTATTGTATAAAAATAGAGACCTTGAAGATAATTCCATATACAGTCATCCTCCCATACAATCACACAGTTGGGCACATAGTAGCTTTTTTTAAAAATGTGCTTATAGAGAGGTT